AATCCCAGTGTAGAGAGGTGGATCTTTGTGAGTCTAAAAAGCAGCCAGAACTACATAATGGAAGCCTGTCTCAAAAGGAGAGAGAGAAACTGATATATATGTGTATGAATGACTGTGTTCATTTCAATCCCAAGGAAGCCTATAATGAAGTTGGTTTTACATGCACTGACCACCATTCTCACGGTAATGAATGGGCTGGCATACACACGCCGTCTCTGAAGCACATGGTGGTAGGATAATCCCAATGCAAATTACATCAATCGATTTAAGGGGGGAAAATGAATCAAAGCCAAAAAAACTTAAAGAGCAAGAACATCTACTCTTTAAAAAGGCATTTAACAACACGGAAGCAAGACACTGAATGGCTTAAAAAGTATCGTGTAAGGCTCTGGGTTCAATCTTCAGTACTGGGCAGAAAAGCAACAACCCTGATGTGGGGACAACTGAGGCCACTTCAAGCTGAAGTAACTCTGTGCAGACACTGGGACACTAAAATGAAGTGACCTCATGGGAATAAATTTGTAGCTCTGTACAAATATATTAACACACAAAATAATTAAAATGCCCTCTAGATTGTCCTCCCCGGGTAAGTTCTGTGTGCCGCGTTGCCTGGGAAAAGGCCTGTACAGCAGCGCCAGTGCACACGGTTATGAGAACAGCATTGCATCCAGTCTTCACTTCCACCCACATTCACAGACTTTATTTCCACTTCAAGACACTAGCTTTCTAGTGCTACATTTTAATCAACATATTACATTTTAAAAGTCTTGATTTTTGAATGAATCTTTTAGTACTATATAACATGATGGAGGTAATAGCTGAAGACCACTTGACAGCTACAGAGAAAGGTTCCATTTAAAATATGACCAAGGTGAGACTGTATCACAGGCAATGAGACACTACAGTTAGTGGACAGATAAGGCATTTTTCAGTGACCATTCATAATTTTGCCTTTAGAAACTTGGAAGAAATTGTCATCTTTGAATTTCAAATGTTCTGGCAAATCCAGTTGCTTTTTGGCTTCTTCAATATCAGCTTGAATTGCTGAAATAAGTGATTCTGGAAAAAGAGAAGAAAAAAGATAAACTGCTAATAATGCATTTTACCACTCTTTTGCTCAGTCCCTCCTAAAAACACACAGGTTAGCCAACCTAGCCCCACATACCTGGCAAAGGACAAGGGCTCAATCAATGTTCATACCCTGTCTGTCTCCAGGGAAAGTCAGTGCTACACAAAGTGTTCTCTTGTAAAGAAACCTTTCCCTAATGGGGTTTTAAGTTCTCACTCTATACCAACAGGGACTTGACAATGGAACCAATCTCCTAATTACTGTTTTTTTACACTTCCAGCACCTACTGCCCAGCCAGCCTTGCAGGGTCAGATGCCAGGTACCACCACTTACTAGCTAACTGCTGTGAGTTGGGTGTGCCCTGGAATTCATGTGTTAAACAAACAGTCCCTAAGGTTGAAGGTATTTGGAAGTGGAAACTCTGGGAAGTGACTGGGCCATGGGGGCAGATGGCTTTATGAGTACCCAGGGAGTGACTGTGACAGAAGAGTGACTTTTCCTAGCCCTCGTCTGTTCCACCCTGTGATGCTACCCACTGAGGCAGAGAGAAGGCCTTTACCAAGTACTAACCACAATGGCTCCAGCTTCCAGAACTATACACCAAATAAACATCTAAACTACTTAATCTCTGTGTGTCAATTTCCTTATCAATGAGATAAGCATACCAACACCTCACATGGCTACTGTGGGTGACAAAGGGATTAACTTGTATATGATACTTGAATTAAATGCTCAAATATATGTCCTGTTATCGTGGCCACTTAGGAGCAGCTGTAATAGTATTGAAGATTCATATAAACTCTTACCTAAAGAATCGAAGTTCTTTTCTGGTCTGAGGTAGCCAACAATGGCCACATTGAGAATTTCCCCATAGAAGTCCTCTTTGAAGGTATGTATGATGTGGGTTTCCTATAAACAAAAAGTGTTAAAAAGATTACCTTGGAACTGGGCAGTGGTGGTGCATACCTTTAATCCCAGCACTCGGGAGGCAGAGGCAGAGGCAAAAGGATCTATGGAGTACTGAGACCAGCCTAGTCTACAAGAGCTAGTTCCAGGACAGTCTCCAAAGCCACCTAGAAACCTTGTCTCGAAAAATGAAAACAAACAGACAAACAAACAAAAAGATTGGGGGTGGGGGTGGGAGAGCTGCCTCAACAACCAGTTAAAAGCAGAAGACCCATATTTGATTCCCAGGATCCAGAGGATGGGGCATAACTGTGTGTAACTCAATTTCCAGATCCAACACCCTCTTCTGGCCTCCTCTGACACCAGGCATGAATATACATGCAGGCAAAACATTTATATGTATAAAATAAAATAAATGAATTTAACCAGGCAGTGGTGGCCCATGCCTTTAATGAGGCAGGTAAATCTCTGAGTTCCAGCCAGCCTGGTCTAGAGTTGCAGGACAGCCAGGATTAAACAGAGAAACCTTGTCTTGGGGGGAAAAAAACCCACAAGCCATCAACTTTAAAAATAAATAATAAGACTATCAGTCTTGGCCTGCCCCCTATTTAAAATGATGTGGGAGATAGGATAACTGAGTCACTCAGGTTTTAGCAGCCTTTCCTCATGAGGACATCTAAGACCAGGAGGCACAGAGTTCAGCACGGTGGTACACACCTGCAACCCCAGCACAAGACACTGAGGAAAAAAAGAAGCCTGGTGTTCAGAGGTCCACTACCTAAAAATTCCAGGCTGCCCTGGGCTACACACACACACACTCCCTACCCCACCCCCCACCAAAACACACACACTCACAGGAGACAGGAAATGTTAAACCAGATGAAAGTAGGATTGTATCATATACTGGGAATTTTAAATGTAAACTAGAAATATCTATCTTGAGGTATATTTTTAAGTGTATGACTTTAAAATACCTAGTTTATAAAATTATCCTTAACATTAAAGTATCTATTGTAAGGATTCAGGCATTATGCTGACAGAATACACACAGGCAGTACCCTGATCAGTGTTCCATGGCTACTCTGTCTGCACGCAGATGCAAAGGATCCCTTTAAAGGAAAGACCCTCCTGCCCACTTACACTCTCTTTCCCAATGTTCCCTTGGAGCAGACAGGACATTTGTTGTCTCCCTCTTCTCTTCTGTCCTCTCTCTGTCTCTGTGCCTCTTTACCTCTTCTCCCTACCCCCACCTCCCTTTCTAATAAAACTTCTCACAAAGCTCTGTCTGCCTGACATGTTGTCCCCTACCTCAGTCACCCTCACCTGCCATGGAATGTTGGGGTCTATAAAGATGGGTCCACTTTATCTTGCCTCAAGGTGTATACCTACAATCATTCAGAACGAGACACTTAAAAATAAAATTATGACTGACCTATTTAAAAATAAACCAAAACAAGAATATGATACTGGTTTTTACCTAACATAGTAAGATAACCAACCAAGTACATTTGAAATATGATTCAGACTCAAAAAGGAGGAAGAGGTTTTTCGAGACAGGGTTTCTGTGTGTAGCCCTGGCTGTCCTAGAACTCAGAGATCTCCTTGCCTCTGCCTCCCAAGTGCTGGGATTAAAAGTGTGTCACACCTCTACCCAGAGAAAAACCAGTTTTTAAAAGTAAAAGCCTAAATAAAGTTAACCCTCTTTTTCTCTAGACTTCCCTTTCCCTGCTGTGGATCAGACCCCAGCCTTTCATTCACTGTGTGAGCACTCCATGCTCTGCCGGCTCTTTCCAGGCAGTCTTGGCTTGTGCGCTCCCCTGGGTTCTGCCTCCTGGGGACGGAGACTGCATGCAAGCCTTGTCTCCAGCAGGGTGCTCAGAGCTGAGACAGCAGCTAACCAAGGAGCAGCTAACCAAGGAGCAGCTAACCAAGGAGCAGCTAACCAAGGAGCAGCTAACCAAGGAGCAGCTAACCAAGGAGCAGCTAACCAAGGAGCAGC